AAAAAATAAAATAATGTTGAATTTTGTGGCAGCAGCACGTCTTCAAACAATTGTTCCAGGTTCATCCTGATCTGTGACGCACCATCTCTTCTTCTGACCTGGTCTGTAAACGTCCAGGACCTCAGGAGACCGGGTGTGGGGGGTTTGGAGGACCTGAAGAGACCAGGTGTGGGGGGTTTGGAGGACCTGAAGAGACCAGCTGTGGGGGGTTTGGAGGACCTGAAGAGACCAGCTGTGGGGGGTTTGGAGGACCTGAAGAGACCAGGTGTTGGGGGTTTGGAGGACCTGAAGAGACCAGGTGTTGGGGGTTTGGAGGACCTGAAGAGACCAGGTGTTGGGGTTTTGGAGGAAATGTTGTCCCACTCTGGTCTGATGGAGGATTGATTTTTGCTGGATGGGAGCTGATGTTGTCCTAAAACCTGTTTGTGCATTTCTGCATTAATGGAGTTTTCCAGATAGGTCAGCTGCTCATGCCAGATGCATTAATGTACCTCGATACCATCAGAGAGGCAGGCATTTGAACTGAGAGTTGGTAACAGGCTGGACGGTCCCCCTCTTCAAGAAGAGGTTATGGTTTTCAGAAATAATTTAGAATTTGAATCTGACCTGAGAACAGTTCTGGACTTGACCTCAGTCCGGTTTACACGAGTTCTGGTCCAGAGAAGACGGCAGGAGTTCTGGTCAGTGTTCACATCTGGCTTCTTCTTTGTCGGATAGAGCTTGAAGCAGCTTTGTGGATGAACTGTTTACAGACATGATGTGCGGAAGTGTTCCTGAGCCCAGAACACAACGAGACCTGGTTTTACTGCAGGGGCCCCGGAGGGCCCGACGATCACGACCACCCAGTATTAACGTTCAGCCTCGTCCTTTGAGCTTCAGATCTTCTCGTGCGTGGATGGGCCCATCAGCTGCAGATGATAAAGATTCAGCAGCTGAACCTCGGCTCATCTTCAGCTTCTCCCACCAAACAAGTTTTTGGGACGTGTTGCTGCCTTCAACTTGAAACCTTTCACAGACGACCCAGCTGGTCAGGTTCTGTTCGTATTCACAGACGA